ACGTTGGCGGTACCTCCGTTGGTGTTTTCTGCTACTGTTTCCACAGCCGGGGCCATTGGCTGATCGAGTCCTACTATTCCATCTTTTACAATTTGATTTACTTCATCCGAAAATATTCTTGGATCCCCTAGAAATTATTAAGAATCCATAATCTTTAAAAATCAATATATAAAACGTATACCTTTTTAACATTTACAAACAACTAACAAATAAATACTAACACCAATTGACAGGGCTTAAACCGTCACCCCATTCTTTCCCTATGCCCTCTAATACGTGTCCAAATCCAAAACTATATGAAATATGCAAAGCTGCTTCAATCACCACCAACACAATAACGATAGCCGGAAATACCGTAACAGTAATCAAAAAGTTAAAAGGATGAAGGAATGGCATCGACCAGTTGAACGCCACCGTCAACACTAAATTTCTGATGGCACGATGAACATACACAACATATGTAAGCGAGGGGAAAAGTGTGGGCAAGCTAGATTTATGTTCCTGAGTGATGTATAAATCATTCATGTGAGTGTTGCCATTGGGAATCAAATGATTCTTGATTTTTTCGTCGAAAAAATTTTGAATTTTTGATTTATTAATTGTTGGAGAATCAATAAATGCGTCATGCGATAATTTTTCGGTAGCGACGGGATTTGCTTGATGAGCTGGCATTATTATACGTATGCTGTATTCAATTTCTTAAAAAAATTTTCTATTCATAAGAGACTACAAAAGTACGATAAGAAATTAAATAACAATACATGTTAGTATCGTACATGTATTACATGTATTTATAAGCTCCTGAAAAAGCAACTGTATATCTTTTACCACTTCTGTCTGCTATTCTTTTTTTTGATATTCACATGCAAACGGGAGAGCTATATACATGTTCATTATTCCCCGTATAAGGTTATATTTAGTACATAATGAACCGAAAACTTGTAATGTCGAGTTATTAAGTTTTGTGTACTTGGCAGAATTTTCTCTGCCATTTTTTCCTCTATTCTGACGAAATCAACAATACATGTATGTCGTACACATACTAATACTGTTGTACATGTAATTCTCAATCAATTGTCTTTAACGTTCGCGAATAGACAAAATTTATCGTTATCTTTTACAAAATTATTACATGTACAGTAACTCCCGCAACTATAGCGATAGTGGGAAATTTTATAATGTTTAGCACGTGATTACGATTGGCGCCGATCGTCACTTAACCAATCTGCAGGCGCACGAAAAAATGCCTTTGAGATTTTGAAACTTCCGTTTATTCCGAAATTGAAATTGTCCATTCTTGTAAAAGTGCCTAAATTTAACGTTTGTTGTGTAATTTGTATTTTTAGGACTTGCAGTATTAATATGCGAAATAATAGTTGTTTTATGCTCCCATTTAATTGAATGGCTACAAACCTACATACACAGTAGACCTCGATAAGTCGATTTGGTATATTTCAGACAATACCCTCGACTTAGAGAGGTTTCGATATCGAGATAGCCTCTTTAAGTCGATTTTTATATAAAAATCACGTGAAAAATCGTTATATAGAGGTTTATTTCGATTTTTCTGCTCTTTGAATATAATTTTTTTTCTTTATAACAAGTAAATTACTCATTAATTCAGCGGATATAGCCATATCTTCATTTTGATTACTATAATTAATCAATTCTTGCACATGTTCAAGACCTTTTTTATGGCTGATAATTGGTATTTCTTCTTCACTTTTCAATGATTTCTTCTTTATTCAATTCTTCAATCATTTGTGCCATGATTGGAACTTCTCAAAATGCTTCATTATTATCAATATTGATAAATTCAGCTGCATTAAATTGGTTAGCAGATAGATCAATAATCTTCAAAGAATATGAATCAATTAAGCTTTGAAGTATTGTTTCTTGCTTCACAAATTCTGTTTCATTATTAATAGTGTGATTTCTTTGGAAAGAATACCATTTTTTTCCATGCATATTGAATAGTTGTGATAGTTACATTGTTTCATGCTGGTGTCATTAATTGAATGGCATCAAAAATTATAAATGATACCATTTCTGATACTTTCAAACCTAGCATGATCATATTCTTAAAAGCAGTAATTCAATTATAACATAATAATTGATAATAGTTAGCTTTGAAGCTATAAATATTTCTAGCATCACATAGTTGAAGATGTGTCATAGTATTGGAAGAAAGAAAATGCAAGGTAACATAGATAAGGATAGTAGGACTCGATCAGCCAATGGCCCCGGCTGTGGAAACAGTAGCAGAAAACACCAACGGAGGTACCGCCAACGT